ACCAACTGGAAAACCGAATCAACTAGAAACCAAACACTAGAGAGAATGTACAGAGTCAAATGTGCTTCCTTGAAAATATGCACTAAAATGGATAAACACACGGAAAGAACAGTGAAGAGAGTGCCAGCCACACAGACACAATGAGGAAACGGAGCCAAATCTATGAACATGACCTTGTGAGGCGTATGGACACGGCCAGTGCCTAACTATGGATCCTGAGACACATGGTCACCGATGGGACCTTCATTCCCAACAGGATTTGATGGGAGGTGGGAACTTCCCAGATCACAGCCCAGGAAGGGAAAACCCAAGCAGACGTGTCAGTCCTACTGAACAGGAGAAACGAAGGCGCTGTTCCCAAAGAGGCCGACACCGCCAGCCTCTGAATGTCCATAACCAGAGAGGAAAGAGCCCTGGAATGAAGGGGAGAGCTCTACCAACCTGCACAGCGATCCTAGATTCTTTGGTGAGTACATCCCCCTGGAGTGGAGGGCGGAACCCAACTACTGAGGAAAGAGCTGCCAGGAAACAACAAATTCCAAGATCCCAGGGCACACCCAGCACTGGAAACATTCAGATTAATCAGTCACATGGGAACAGGTCTTAAACACAAATCACTTAGTAGAGAGACTAGAAGAGGCCTCCTCCATCCAGACCCTGAATAAACTCTTCTGTGGAAAGGCTCCCACACCAGCCTTATCCATTAAAAAATAAGCATTAGTGGAAACTGTTTCCAAGATAGCAAAGCCTTACAAAGCCCAGAGGAAACCTGTCCTGCAATATTAACAGAGGAAGGAGGAAGAGCAGGAGGAGGAGAAGGAGGAGGAGGAGGAGGAGGAGGAATGTCCAACATATTCTCTGGAACAGAAACCAGCAAGATCTGGCTTCTTTTACTCCCTTTCCTACCCCAAAGCATGTGCCACATATACGCCAAAAAGCAGCCATTATTTCAAGACGAAATATGAGTCATTAGTAACAGAATAATAGATAGTGTGGATATGTGTGGATAAGTTCGGTAAGATGACCAGAACTTCCCTTTTCTGTCATTCAGAAAATGCATGCCCAACACCCTAGCAGACATATTGTGTTCCCATTTCATTTCTATGCATTTTAATCTGGACACTGAAATATGGACAAGAGAGATCAATCTTAAGATTTAGCTTTTGAAAGAGTCTAAGTGTGGTTTTCACTTTGTGGTCTCCTTGGGGTGAGCAAATAATATAGAAAAGTCTAAACATTTAATTTTACTGAACATTAAAAAATGTTTTTTAATAAAGAATAAAACAGCGAGGGGGGAAAAACGAAAAGAAATGGCATTTCCCTCATACACACTTGAAAAAATAAAACCAAGTAGGGCCACTGGCAAAACAAGGAGCTATAGAAACCTTTTGCCACAGTTATTACAGGTGAGTCTTAGACAATCACAAACAGACTGCATCTTAGACCAGTTTTCTTACCGACACGGATGCATCTGGGAGGAGGGAGCCAGCCATTCTCCGTACAGGTCATTGAGGTCTGCTGGTTTTGAAGCATGAAGCCAGGATAGCAATTAACACGTACAGATGTGCCCTGCAAATAGCTTTGTTCATATCGTGGACGATGTCCATTTTCCAAATCATTGAAAATGCATTTTCCTGAGAATTATGAAAGGATGATTAAAAACCACATAAATGGAGTCAAAATAAATTAAAAACTATCTTTATAATATTTAAATTAGAATGCATAAGCATCCGAAAGTAGCACATAACTTAAGAATCACTATTGCTGCTACCAAATGTTTTTAAAAGCAATATTAAATGGTATTTATCTGTAATTTCCACAACTGAAATATGTATAAGTGCTAAGGACAGGCTTATAGAATCTATGTCTATGTCTCGTGCTGTTAATGAAGACCCTTGATGACAGAGACATCCAGTGTCGGTCTTTCTGCTCAGAGACTCATCCTCCACCTACTTCCCCCACAGGCTTAGGGAGCTCACGTTGGCTCTCTCCACTCTGGACTATGGCTACGGGCACAGGACAGAGAGGTTCACTCACTGCGGCAGGGCACTTCCGGGAACCAGCCATCTCGTGTGCAAGTCATGCGATCCCACTTGCTTTGTGAAAGAGTCACATAGTTGTCATCACAGGAATATTGAACCCTTTGTCCTACCGAGGCTGGGAAGGATGCTCTATACATGTCTTCCTTAAGAAGGAGTCCATGTTTTATTTCTGGAAAGTCACAGGGCTTCACTAGCAAGTAAAACAAACAAAATGTACTATAAGTAATGTTTTGCCTTAATAGAAATGTAATGAGAGATAGATTGTTCCTATTGATGAATTATACTCTCCTATGCCCAGAATTACACTCATTGCATTAGGCTTTCTAGGACAAGAAAAGTTATCATCTTCAGATGATGTGAATAATATATGTTCCCTGATCATTTCACAATATATACAAATACGGAATCATTATAGTGAACACCTGAAAGGAACACAACACTGTAGGACAATTTAATCTGCATAAACCATCACTCTCCCTGTCACTGTTGTGCACACTGAGGCCTGTGTCATGGTGGTCAGGGCCTCCTCTTGTCTGTCAAGAGGCACCTGACTGTGCACATTCATTTGGCCTTGGGCTTGAATGAACCCTGAACCATTGACCTGTCATGTGTGTCATTTCATTTGTCATCCATGGAAGATCCAGCTTAAGTGGGGGCCCCTTTTCCAATGAGCTGATACACAAGGAGCAGCAATGAGATTGTAGAGACAGAAGACACTGGAAAAGGGGCAGCCCCCCAGGAATAAAGTGCCCTGTGGACTGAGGGGCGTGTGTGACAGGTGGGGCTTTAGAAAGTGCACAGTGTCTCCCACATTCGTTCTCCTCAGGCCGCCGATGGGGACGCCCAGGGGGATGGCTGCGGAGGCTCCTGCCCTCACCCTGGGCAGCATCCCAGGGAGCAGCAGGGAGGACCCAGAACCAGGCAGCTAAGTGCCTCCCAAATCCTGACCCGCCGACGCTGACACACAAGGGGCTGTTGTCTGAGGCCGTATATTCGGGGCGTTTGTTGCACAGACATCAATACCTCATGTACCAGGTGTTGAATGGTAGTGCTCTTACCGAGTGATCTACTTCACATAGTAGAATATTAGTGAGAGAAACATATATGCATACGTACACATCCACATATTTAACACTGATTAGCAAAAAATTAAAAGTTTTTATTAACAAAAATGTGGTTTTGTTCTTAGAATTAGAGACTTTGGAAATCAAAGACTGCCTTGAGCCTCTGTGTTACCTTCTCAGTGAGGAAAAGATTTGGACTTCAGTTTTCATTTATTTTTTATCGACTTCAGAGAGGAAGGGAGAGGGAGAGAGAGAGAAACATTAATGAACAGAGAGAATCATGGATCGGCAGCCTCCTGCATTGGGGATCAGTTCACAACCCGGACATGGGCCATGATGGGGAATCAAAGGTGACCTCCTGGTTCAAAGTCGATACTAAATCACTGAGCCGCTCTGGCCAGGCAGATCCCCTGTATTTTTAAGTTTAAGAGAAGTAATTGTGGAATTAAGAAGCAGGTGAAGATATGGAGGGAACTTACAGCTACATCTTGGAGGAGGATCCCAGCCTATGTCAAATCACATGAAAATCATCAAAGACATGAGAATCCGTGAATGTCATTTCTTTCCAAAGAGCACAGGGCATTGAAATGAGCACCCTGTCCTCACATGTATATTAGCACTCACTATATTATAGAGAACATATGTGACCTCCTAGACCAGTGGTTCTCAACCTTCCTAATGCCACGACCCTTTAATACAGTTCCTCATGTTGTGGTGAACCCCATTTTCATTGTTACAAATTGAACATAACTAAATCATAGTGATTGATCACAAAAACAATGTGTCATCATATTGTGTTTTCTAATGGTCTTAGGCAACCCCTGTGAAAGGGTCGTTCGACCCCCAAAGGGGTCGCGACCCACAGGTTGAGAACCACTGAAGACACAGTGTTAAGTAAAATATGTCTGCCATCTGCAGTGAGTGATGTTAATCAACATGAACCTCAAATGAGCCTTAAATATTTTTATTTTTCCTGGTTGATGTGGCTCCGGGGTGGAACATGACCTCTGAACCAGGGAGTCAGGGTTTGATCGCAGCTTAGAGCACATATCCAGGTTGCGAGCTTGATGCCCTATGGGAAAGTGGGGGTGAAGGAGGGAGCCTATGAATGATTCTCTCTCATCACTGATGTTTCTAACTCTCTCTCCCTCTCCCTTCCTCACTGAAATCAATAAAGATATACTTAATATATGTTTTTCTCTCACTTTAACCTGCTATATCTATTATATTTTCATATCCCCATTGTAGTCCAGTCTACATATCTTACTATTCACTTCATAGTATAGCTACACTTAACACCAATGCTTGAAGACAAAAGCTCTGAGACACATATAAAAACACACATTTCCCTAAGAGACCAACCAAATACTATTGGGAGAATTTTGTTAGATTAGTTAGGAATAGAAGAACTTCTGGTGGGTGCTTTCAAGCAGTGGGCATACATCCCTTGACAAATTGTAATTCCCTACTCTCATCATCTCCATTAAAGTAAATGGTGCTGTTAAAACATTGCCGGGGCCGGTGCCTCTGTCCAAAAGAGTGACAGCTGAGACTGTACAAAGTGTGAGGCCACATGGTTCCTACTGTGAGAAGCCATCATTGAGATTTGGGAGAAGAAGAATAATCCCCATGGGCACTCCCTGTTGTGAATCCGTAGAAACATCCAGTTTGCACAGGGACGGATGAATTGGGCCTAAGGTGACTTTTATTTAGCCGGTCTCGGTACTTTCCGTCATTCCTGCCAATGACTTATTGTGAGAGATTGTCCCTAATGAATGCAGATACCAAAGTGTTGGTAAGTTACCCTCTAATACCCATAGCCAGTGTGTTTGACTGCTGGTCAAGGGCACATATCTTGGTGGCAGTTTCCATCCTGGGCCCTGGTCGGAGCTTGTGTGAGAGGCAACCAGTGCATGTGTCTCTCACATCAATGTGTGTGTGTCTCTCTCTCTTCCTCTTCTCCCTCACATTCACTCTTTCTCTAAAGTTCAATGGAAAAAATATCCTCAGGTGAGGATTTTTTAAAAAGTAAAAGCAAATGAAAAAGGGCAAAGTCCTACTTAAGAAGGAGACAATTATTCCCGTCAGTTTCAACTCACCTTGTCCACGAGCCCAGGAGACCCACAGGGTGAGGATGACCGTGACTAGTAACTGCATGGCGGGCTCCCCGGGGGTGTTAGCACAGAGTCCAGCGCTGCTGTTTGGGGCTCAAACCTGCTTCATGAGCCGTTACCGAGTGTGGCTCCGAATTCAAGTGAAACTAACGGGAAGCTGGTCGACTGGGGTCACTTGGTAGATATCAAAGTTCAAAGACTTTTGCAATT